TTCAGAAGTGGCTGCATTCTGACTTCTCCAAAGGTTGGAATGCCTGTTCTGGTCTGTACCTACCCAGCCAGCCTCCCTGAGAGGTAAATAGTAAACATTGCACTTGTTAATAGACCAGGCCTCAAACTTGAGGCATTGAATTGTTTTCAGAGCTTCTTGTCAAAGACCTCTAATTAAGTAAGTGTTTCTTAGGCATCGCCAGAGCTGCTCATTTGGGGGCAGCTTGGAGCAGGGTTGGATTTGCCGACGTTGGAAGAGGATGATGGATGACTTGAAAGCATCCTGGTAAATGAACAGAATTAACCCAGGCAGTCGGGGATGGACACAGGATTTCATTTCGGCCAGCGTGCAGTTTTTCTTCTAAAGGAAATGGCACAGCTTAGCTGTTAAGGGGAAATGAGGTAAAACCGAAGACAAGTGGACATCTGTCCTCAGAGCAAAAACAGCAGATCAAACAGGAATGTCAGGATGACGGCCTGCTGTGTAGCATGTGGTCAAGGGTAGGAGAAAGAAGGGCACAGGGCACCTCCCTTCCCCACTGATACGTGCTTGGATGGGTGCTCTTCAGCAGTGGTGTAGCGGCCAGCAAATTGCCCATGCTTCTGTGAGTAACACCCAGCCACGCTATATGTCATCCCACTAAATTCCTTGGTTCAGCAAACTACATTTAGATGCGCCTTAGTGCAGAAACACCATGACCAAGAGTATCTTGGGGAGGAAAGGGTTTATTGGTTTACATGTCCTGAATCACAGTTCACTGGAAGAAGTCAGGGAAATTCAAACTAAGTGGGCAGGAACCTGGAGGTAGGAGCTGATGCAGAGGTCATGGAAGGGTGCTGCTTACTGGTTTGCTCCCCATAGCATGCTCAGCCTGCTTTCTTATAAAACCTAGGACCCATCTCAGGAATATCCCGCCCACAATAAGTTGGCCCTGCCCCCATCAGCCACTTATTAAGAAAATGCTGTACAGGTTTGTCTGTAGACAGCCTGATCTTACAGAGGCATTTTCTCAACTGAAGTTCTCTCTTCTTAAGTGATTCTGTCTTGTGTCAAGTTGACCTAAAATTAGCCGGCAGCAGGTGGAATTGTGTCTTTGTTCTGTCACTGGTGTCCTCTGTCTGCAGTGAATAGACGTTGGTTCATAGCCTTCAGGAAAAGCCACACAACAATGAGGGAATCACTGGAAGGCCTGGAATGGTTTCTGCTGTCAAATAGGAAAAGGGGGGGGGTGAGCCTAAATTACAAACGGAGTCCTAAAAATCAGCATGTTATGATAGTTGTGTCCTGGGGCTTTGTGCCCTGTCATGAAGATCATGGCGGGAGCAGGGACTAAGAAGGTGAAGAGTGAAGGAAGGGTGGCCTTGCCTGGCAGGGCAGGCCCATCAAAGTGCCTCAGAGTGGAGTCGGGGGAGTGACTGTTGCAACTGGAATCTTGTTTAACGAGCAAGCTGGCCAACTTCACTTAGACAGAAGGGGCATGGGAAAAGGAAAGAGATGTTAATGGTTACACCAGGGTCTTGGCCTGAGCCAAGCTGTCATTTCTTGAAATGGGAAAGATTGGAGAGAACTAGATTTGAAGGGGGTAGGGAATTAGCTTCTCTTTGGATGGTTTGAATAAAACAACTGTTAGATATCAAGTATGTTGTGTAAGTAGTTGGATTGGCACGGCAGCTCTGAACTTTTAAAGAAGCTGGGGCTATAGCACATATTTGGAAGGCATCACACTTAGATGTTGCAGGCTTACAGCGTGTACACTAGATGGCACTAGACCACGGGCTTGGACACAACGTCAGAGTAACTGCTTACGGAGATGGGGTCAAACACTAGGGCAACTCAGCATTTACAAGTTGGAGGGCAGAGGGTAGTGTCCAAAGAACAGGGCTTTTTAAAAGTTGAAATTGAGTGTGTGTGTATGGGGGGGGGAGTGAGTTGAGATAGAAAATAATATATTTATATTCTGATAGGAATAGCCAAGCAAAGGAAAAAGGCCATGCTAGAAGAGGAGAATTTCATGGGCAAAGTCTTACATAGTCATGAACTCTTGAAGAGAACGTGTTTATACTAGGAGTTCTCAACATCTCAAGTTTCCGTTATAGGTGCTCTGCATTTAGTTACTGTGCATTTGCTGGGACAAAGCACTGTTCAATTTAGGGCTCAGCTCCAGAGAGTAGTCAATAGAGTCCACGAACATGGTGAGATGCATGCAGCAGACAGGCAGGCGTGGAGCTGGAGCAGCAGCTCAGAGCTTTTTGTCTTGATTCACAAGCACGGGGGGTGGGGACTGGGAATGACATGTGCTTTTCTTTTTTTTTTTTTTTTTGAGACAGGGTTTCTCTGTGTAGCCCTGGCTGTCCTGGAACTCACTCTGTAGACCAGGCTAGCCTCGAAATCAGAAATCCGCCTGCCTCTGCCTCCCAAGTGCTGGGATTAAAGGCATGCGCCACCACCGCCTGACGGCATGTGCTTTTCAACCTCGAAGCCCACCCCCTAACAACACACTCCAACAAGGCCACACATGTTAACCTAACCATACCTCCAACAAGGCAAAATCTTCCCAAATCTGCCAACTGGGAACCATGCATTTCAACATATGAACCTATGGGGAGCTATTCTCATTCAAACCACCAATGACAGCTTCTTCTTTTATGCTTAACTTCCATATTAGTGATAATACAATGTGAGTTTGGGTATTTTTTTTTTTTTACTACAAAGAACAGAAGGCATGATGACAGGGAACAGAAAACCCAGCTCCAGCTTGCTTAAATAATTAGTTGGATTTCCAGTGAAAAGTCAGTGGTGGGGACTTGTGGAAAGTGTATTCCGGAAGTCTGTGTCACATCCCAGAATTGTCTTCTCGTTTTGCTACACAGATGAGCTATGTGCACCACCCAGTTAGAGCATCCTTTTGTGTAAGGGCTCCAGGTATGTTAAACAAATACACATACTAGTCAATTGCGAGAGCCTCTCCTTAAATAGGATTGATCCTACTGTATTAAAGCCAAGATTAAAATAAAGAAAAAAAACCAAGGGGACAACAGTTGGGGGATTACATGTTAAATACAGATGTCCTGGAGCACGAAGAAAGGACCTTTGGAAATGAGTTTTCCCTGAAGGAGCAAGATGATTGGTGCTCTGACTCAGAGTCCAAAAATTCCAGTTTCTTACATATATACCAAACAGTAATTTAAGATGGAAGATTTATCTGTAGAGAGCATTCAAGTTCTGTTTAGTAATTAATAGCAGACTTGATAGGGTCCAGCACAGGTAAGGAGACGTTCAGGTTGGCCCACTAGAGGGCAGCAGTTCGACTGCAGAACCCATCGTGTTGGTCTAGGAACAGCTGTTTACCGTCAACAGTAAGGAGAGAGGGGGCCGCGTGCGGTGGTTAATGTCTGGAATGGAACCTTCTGATCCCTGCATCACTGCCACACCGGCTCTATAATGGCTTCCTCCCGCTGTTCACAGTTCGGTACCTTATTATATCCAGACCTGCTTTCAATCTGCAGATAATTCAAATTCCTTAGATTATGAAGCTAGGGAATTACATAATGCTATAATTATTCCTGGCAGAGAAACGCAAGGTCAGGCATGAGCTCCTGTAGTCCGCTTTGCCCTTCGTGTGGTACACGGAGCTCTTTGTCCTGGGTGAGACATGTGAGCAGGAACTCAAGATAAGGGCTAAGGCCCCTTCTCTGAGGACAAGAACACAAGCCTGACTTTTTCTCTTTCTGGACTCTGCCGCACACACTCGTTGCTGTGGTATCAAAAGCTGCACTGGTACAAGCAGGTTCAGCCCCCGCAGTGGGGCAGGCCGAGCGTGTTTGCTATTGAGTAAGCAAACAAAACCTACCAGTTAAGAGGGTCACTGGCAACTCCCCAGCCTTCCGCAGAGGGAAGCCAGAGCAGGTTTGCCGGGCAGCCAGCTTAGAACATCGTCATCCTGCTCAGATCTTCTTTCTGTAGGAAGACTTTGCTGCATCGGAAGGGCTCGCTCAGTTTCTCCGTTTTAGAAGTCACTGAGTCCGCGCAGCATGACCGAGTCCTCGCACTTAGTTTCCCCACATGAGGTCTAACTTGATCCTTCCAATTTTAATCAACAAAAAAAAAAATCAAAGGCAGGTCTCTTTTTCATTGAGCCTCCTCCATAATGCATTTCATTGAGCCTCCTCCACAATGCAAGTGACTCCGGGGAGAAACCTCTCTAAGCCTGTACTAGATGACAGCATTTTCTTCCCGCTCTGTAAGAGTACATCCCTGCCCTGAGGCTTATGGTCTCAGTAGGCCCGTCTTGACAGACTTGGTCACGTGACTTGCTGGGCCCTATGAACCAAAGTATGGAGCAGAAGTGTTAAGACTATGAATTTGAATGCATCTAAGGGTCAAAGGGAAAGGATTACATGGGAGGGGCTGGAGGGAGGAAAGGGAAGGGGAAGTGATGTAATTATAACCAAAAAGGCATTTTTTAAAAAATGGCTTAAACATTGAAGGTGCAGCAGCCTGGGGTTGGTTTTATTGTTTTTTGTTTTTGTTTTTGCTTTGGTTTGGTTTTGCTTTTTAGAGGTGTGTGTACATGCACATGTGTGTGTGTGCACGCGCGTGCATGTGTGAGTGTTCACCTTTGCTCTGATCCAATAGGGACCCCTGCTTTGTTTTGGGTCTTGCAATGAGAAGACACTGTTAGGAGCTACCACCTACCAACACTCGAGAATGTGTAGTGTAAGTGAAAAGTATATATTGTTGTAAGTCACTAAGATGGATAGGGTCAATTGTTACTGCAACAGAGTCACCTAATGCGAAAACCAAGGAATAAATAATAAATGGAAGATATAAATGTGATCGTCTCAATTCCCAATCACCTTTATTTATATAAAAGTATATTAAATAAATTATCTCAATATATACAAATAGGAGCTATATAAATATAAAATCCCATATACAAAACCTTTAAAATTTATATAAATATATACAATGTTAACCATAAACATTTTTAAGTACCGGAAATCATAAAACTATATGTAGTTTCTTTGTATAGTAGTCATATAAAAAGAGTTGACTGTCAAATGTTTAAACCCCGTCATTGTCAGTTAAAGTGCTAAATTGTAATAAAGTACAAATCACAAAGATGCCCCAAGCAGAAATATCCTGCATTTCACATGTTTATGTGAAAGTTTGCCAATTGCTTTGAACTTCCAAAAGTACCTAGTAGAGGGGGAAAAAAACCCCAAATACCGCTTTACAAAAGTACAACTGTTAGAAAAGTCCACCCAGTTCCCACTTTACTGTTCTACAGCCTATGAAATCAACTTCTCAAAGGTTCTCCAAAAGTCTATTCAGGTTATACGAAAAGCCTCTGTCCACTGGCTTTGCCTGGGCGACCTAGTGTCTTCCTGAGTGTAGAATACACAATCTAAAGCATTTGTGCAAGAGGCGCTGTAGTGTTAACCAGTTTGGTACCGTTCAGTGCATCCTAAAGGGACAAATGCTAGTGTTGGAATCGAAGCGTTAGCTGGGATAACAGGTCATGAAGGGAGCCCTTGTGAACCAGGACGGTCAAGCTCCACACCGCACATCCTCGGTTTGCATCGAAGGCTCGGGAACCATGCCACGCAGGTGGTGTGAGCCTGCAGCTTCAGCCTCTTCTCTACGCCAAGCGCGATGGAGTGTTCTTCCTTTTCTGCTCTGCTTTTCTCTTTCTGCGCTTGCACAGAGATACGGACAGGATGATGATGAAGATGGTGACCAGGAACACCACCGCTCCCACAATGACGAACGTTTCTGAAACGCAAAACCAAACAAACAAGTCAAAGATGGTAAAGTCAGCTTGGCGGCCCAATCCCACTTGCCGGTGGGCGTGACCCTAAACTATACCACCCTGGTTTTTTTTTTTTTTTTTTGAAACTTGACATTTATTTTTTCTACTCTTTCTCTCTCATTCTTCGATTGAGAATTTACCTGACCGCATGTGCTTGAGAGAAACTGATAGTGAGTACAGCATTAAATGAGCTACCCAGGGTTCCCAACCAGAGAAGAGCCTCGGAGTTGGCTGTAAGAACATGTGTTGGAAATGTAGTCCACAAACGACCCTGAATTTGGTGGCAGAGGTTTGTTCTATCAGAAGATAAGTGGGAAGGACAAAGAAGGCGAGCCACAGTGGTGATGGCGGAGAGGAAGAGACAGTAGTTGGCTGGGGTCGTCAGTGCCCCAGAGGATCTACTTTGAGAGAGATGAAGTGGAAAACAGGCAGAGCTAGAACTAGAGTGGGGCGTAGGAAAGAGCATCTTGAGGCTTGTGGCTCAGGAGCTGGCCCAGAGGGCTATGGCCTCCAATGGAAAGAGAACTTTCTATTAACAGCAGTGAGAAGGCAGAATACTTAAATGTATTGTTGCATTTTAAAAATTATGCTTAGGTCAGCATACAAAGTAATGGGTTTAATTATGGCATTTTCGTAAATAACATGTAATTAGACTTTGTTCTCATTCACCCCTGGCCTCCCTGCCCCTCGGTCCTTTTCCAGTTTCCTTTCCTAGATCACGTCCTCTTTACTTAGCACAGCTATTTTACTAACCCTCCCCCTTTGCATGTCTTCCTGTTTGCTCATGCTCTCCTCTCTAGTTTCATGACTCCACCACACACATATGTAAACACATACATGCATATGAATGTAAATCTAGCTTTCTACATGAGAGAAAGATGTGGTACTTGTCTTCCTGAGTCTGGCCTACTTGGCTTAACGGACTTGAAACTTTAACGGAGCCAGGGCACAGCTACCGTCTCCTGACTCGACTCCTCTGAGGGCACTCAGGGCCCCGGCCCTGTGGGGTCCAGGGATCTTTACAGGCTTTCAGTCCCAACACCGAATACTCAGAAAGCGTGTTCATGTGCACACACACACACACACACACACACACACGCAGAGTCGCTGTACCAACAGTCCATCATAAGTGCACTTAAATATCTGCCATGTTCAGAAACTAACTGGTCCAGAAACTACTCCTCCCCTGAGCCCTGCTCCCTCGGATCATAATGTCAGTAGGAAAAACAGGCAGAGAAGGCTGCAACTTGATGCCTGAGTGCTCAAGTCCTAGCTGTAATATGCATACGCAGTACCCCATAGAATCTATCCCATCGCAAGTGCCCAGGGAAGTGCTTGCTCACCAAAGGAACCATGTGGAACCATTCCTCAATGCCCCTAAGGAGAACACAGAACCCAAAAAGAAACCCTAAGACACCCTAAGCTCATTTCTGAATGTCTGAAACAAAGAGGTACATGTTGGCTCTGATGTGGGGCCAGCAGAGCCTCCCAGGGCACTGACAGCCATGGCCGTCACTCACCTCCCACGATACTCTTCCATTGCTCAGTGCACACAGTAATGCTTTCTGGGCTCTTTTCCTTATTTTTCCTGTGTGAAATCACAGCTTGTACAAAAAAGCAGTAGCTTGTCCTTTTTTCCACATCAATCAAGAATTGATTAGTCTCTGTAGTGTTTGTTTTCTGTGAAAAGATAAGTGTTCTTAAATCACCGAGGAAGGCAAAACCAGGGCACTAAATCTATATGCAGATGTCACTGACGCACGAAGGATGAGAAGTCACTTGGCTAATCGGTAACCCTGGTGACTGCTAAAAAGACAGATACACAAAGCCCAGTTCAGCCCCCTTTTTCTATAGGAAAAGAGAGGTGGAATTACCAAAGAAGGCACATTTAGGGGCTAGGGATGTAACTCACTGGTAGAGAACTTGTCTAGTGTACAAGGCCCTGGGTAACAGTCCCCAGCATCACAAAGCAGCATGCATGAGTACACGTACACACACATACATACATGCACGTACACATACAAGCACATACACACACACATACGCACAAACTTTCATGGGCACATGCACTCACTCTTGCACACATGCCTGCACATGTATTCATGCACACATGGACACACACACAAATTAGTTAATAAGTCATTCCTCCCACCCCACCCCCATCCCCTGGGATCCCCATTATGGAGATGTGGGAGGCGACAGTCTGGTCTAGCTCCTTGACTGTGTGACTGGAATCTCTGAAAGGACCCTGCCCAAGAGCACAAAGCAACTAGCTTAGCAGTGACAGGCAGAAGGAGGATCTGCTGTGTACCCCACCATGTCAACCCCTATTCCTATTTGAACTGAGGAGCAAGCATGCTGTGGAGAATCAAGGATCTATAAAAAGGGGGAGCATAAAAATAAATGGAAAATCTCTTACCCTTCCTGTGCTTGAGCCTTTCCGATAAGTAAGTATATAACTCAAGTCCTTCTTAAAGACTTCCCGCAGGGTGCGGAATGTACCGTTCTGTCTGACTAGCGTAAGTGGGTCTTTTACAGTTACCCTCAGCTTTGTGCCATCTTGTTCAAACTCCTGAATCATTGGCTGTCCGATTTTTGCTGAAATGGAAAAAAAAAAAAAGAAAGAAAAATTACCTTGCTTGGAAATGAAAATCAATACAAAGAAAAGATCGATTAGTTATTAATTGACAACTCCTCCATCGCTCGTATAGAACACCTGTACAGAATCAGCTCCAGGAGCAGGGGTGGTGGCCGGCCTACAGCTGAGTCTCAAGACAACACGTAGCAGTGCCATCCTCTGGAAGCACAAGGAGACCCTTCCTTACAGACATTAGAAAATGTGAAAAGGAATGGGTGGGACGCGTTTTAATAATATACTTTAATAGGCCCATTAACAGATTGGCATTTTAACATGCACTCAATAGAATGGATATTGTGGATATTTTACATCTTTCAAACACTGGCATATTATTTTCCACCTTGGCAACATTAGCCATATTTCAAAAGTTTGGTGGTTGTGTGAGGGTGATGGCTACCAGGCTGTACAAGGACGTTTTTCAAGCTTTTATATTTTAGCTACAATGGATTAGGGGCTGGGAAGCCCAGGAAGAGTTTCAGGTCAATCAAGGAATCTATTTTTTTTTAAAGACTTTTAAAAGTTTTTTTTTTAAGTTTTTTTTTATTTTTTATTTTTTATTATTTTTTTATTTTTTATTTTTTTAGTTTCTTTTTAGTGTTTTGCCTGTTGTATGGATGTGTGTACTACATACATGCATACATGGCTAGTGTCTACAGGTCAGATGTCATCTGATCACTGGAACTGAGCTACAGATGGTACACATACATGTACCAGGCACATACACATATTTTTAAAGTCCATTAAGCTCACGTTTGTCACCTTCTAATTTTGTTAATTTTTAACATTTTCCTGAAACAACCTCTTGACCCTCCCCCGCCCCTCAAGGAATCTATTTTAAGCTCTTGGTTCCTGATTCAGTTACATCATATGCTCTGGTCATGTGATGGTCAGACAAGTCCTCACCGTATGCAAGGCACCGAACAGTGTGTGTGTGTGTGTGTGATCGTGTGTGCTCTGTTGCATATCACAAAGGATTTGGTCTGGACTGCTGAAAGCTCAAGAACTATGAAGGGTAATCATGGCTAGGGGAAAATGATTGTCAGGAAGCCTGCATGACATGGACGTGTCATGCTGAAACACAACGGTAAAAATACAAAGGAGTCCGAAGAGAGAGGCCTGTCAGTGGGGACCCTAGAAAGACAGCTACATTCATTTGGGCGATTAGACCATTAGACCAAATTTCAGCAGTAAAATCTCAATTGTCCTTCATCCTTCTCACCATCTACGTCACTGAGCAATCAGAAGGGTATAGATGGGGACTACCAAAGCCACAACACTTCTGTTCTAACCAGCAGGCCTTGCAAAAGAAGTAGAGTTTAGTCTTCCTGATGTGCTGGATGAGCTTGTGAAATCTCTACTTCTGAACCAAGAAAAGACAGAAAGTATAAAAGAAAGAAAGAAAGAAAGAAAGAAAGAAAGAAAGAAAGAAAGAAAGAAAGAAAGAGAGAAAGAGAGAGAAAGAGAGAGAGAGAGGAAGAAGGAAGGAAGGAGAGAAGGAGAGAAGGAAGGAAAGAAGGAAGATTCTTTTACTTGGCAAGAATTCTCTACATTTCCTTATTAGATGTCAGGCTTGCACACTTGGACAAAAGTGGAAAAGCATGCTACACATTCAAACCCAGCATGAGGGAGGCTGGCGGGGAGCTGGGACACGCTGGCTCATCTCGAGATCAGATGAAGCTCAGCTGGTTGAAGAACCAACAAGCCCAGTTTCAGGTACAAGTGGCTTCCCTGTGGATCTGTGCTTGCTGGAGGAAAAATCCTACACTAGGATCCCTGGTCTGATGAAGGATATAAAATTCAGCATATGACACGGTGTCCTGAGGAAAAGCCACAAGCCCAGCCTTAGTACATCCTCAAGCTGGTTACTGGTAGGAACTGGTGGCAGACTGGAGGAGAAAGTTAGTAGATGACACAGTGATCAAGACACGAGTGCACGTTCTGTGAACCTCCTGCCCATCTGCAGAGAGTGAGACACTTACTTATGAAATGCCTCTTCCCGCACCGTGGGGTGTGTGTGTGTGTGTGTGTGTGTGTGTGTGTGTGTGTGTGTGTGAGAGAGAGAGAGAGAGAGAGAGAGAGAGAGAGAGAGAGAGAGAGATATCTAATGGCTAGCAGGGGGATCACAGAGCACAAGCATATACAGAAGCCTAGACTAAGAGTGAAGGATTACAAACCAAGCTACTTACTGTCTTGGTAAGGTATAAACTTTGGGGCGTTTGTAGATGGGAATTCCACCCCATGAGTTGCATATAGGTCTTCTTTTCCATGAGTTGAGTTCCTCCATGGAACAGTTAGGACCCTGGCTTCATAGGCCCAGGTCAAATCCTTCACAATCTCGTCTGTGAGGTCACACTCAGTGTCTGTGGTAAGGTAGCATTTGTTTTTCCAGTTTCTAGATCTATCGCTAAAGGAAGGGAGGAGAAAAAGAAATGGGAGGTTAGGGTCTGTGTCCGGCAGGATGGACGGCCTTCTACCGGAGTACTCTGAGCAACCAACCGGCAGGGACAGGGAAACCTAAAGAGGCATTTCCCATCCTGAGCATTTGCAGTACGAATGCAAGGTCACCCAGTAACTAGGTTGGCTCTGCTGGATTCCTTTTACCTTTTTTTTTTTTAACGTATGTGAGCACGGAGGGCCAGAGGCACTAAACAGCTTCCACAGTCACACGCTAGCAAGGGGTGGAGCTGGGTTGTTTGCGTGGTTTGTTTGCCTCGTTTATCGTTATACTACATGCTAGCTTTAACTACGAGAATGAGAACACATCTTACCAAAGAGTAGAGAAAAACTATACAGCTAGTGCCTGCTTAACAAAGCCTCGGAGGGCAAAGGTCGTATCTTTCTTTTGTAAGGTATCTTCGAAGGAAAAATGACTTGAGAAAACTTCTGCTGAAAATAAAATTCTTCGAAAGGACAAACATGACCATTAGCCACGCTCCGGTACATCTTTCCCCGGGCACTCCCATCAGGTGAATACCGGCGGTGCTCTGAGGTCTGTATCATCCTGCTAGGCAGACCTCGGCACTCAAGTTCTAGATCTCCGTGTCACCCTGCTTAGCGCTCATCTCTCCCTTGCTGGCCACCACCCCCGTCCCTAACCTTACGGCCATGAAAGCTTTGCACATGCAGGCTCTCCATGGACCAAGAGCTCTGGTTCTCATCTCTCTGCCCAACAGCAGGGTTTCTGTGTTTGCTGAGTATTGAGACTGCTACCCCTTCAGGGTGGTAAGCATACTTCCCGTGATCACACACGTTAAAAAGAACCCAGCACCTCCTTAGAAGATAGCAAATGGTTAAGATGTACAAAGGGCCCAGCAGAATATCTGGCATACAGGAGAGTCAGTGGTTGACTAATCATATATGGTGATCTTAATGGAATATAATTATGTAGGGAATCTATTATTGATAGACTTTATTATTCAGCATAGATTTAGAATATGGTAAAACACTCAGCAGAGGAGTCACATATAGATACAACTATCTAAATCCACACAGAAGAGGCACACATGAGGATTCTTCAAAGCCCTTAAACAACCATACTGCAAGAACCTGAGTACATATGTACATATATATCCATTATCCTTGAAGTCTCATGCTAACATTAAAATTGGAATATTTTAGCCTCTCGAATTTTTGAACTTTCTTCTATGGTAAGTATAGAGAGGCTATTTGGATCCAGAATGACCAAAATGTACCTTGATTACATCTTTACTATATCAAAAGCCAATGGCACCTTAATAGTTTCTTTCCATCAATGAGATAGCTCCAGTGAGGTCCTCTGGGTGTTGCTAAGAGCACAAACCACATTAAAAGTCTTCAAGGTCCCTCTAGGTTAGTGAAAACCTCCCCAAATTTAGAAACAAAAGTTCCCCCATTAATTTACTGAAGAGTTCCAACAGAAAACAAACATTCACTAATTGAGTTAGAGGCCGTGTCTGGAAGCTTCTAAACTCAGCTTTGGAATTCAACACACACTATGGACTGGACGGCACAAGTCATAGCGTGGTGCTAAGGCTGGGCCTCTGATGCTTCCCAACTACCACTGAGCCTGCTTTCAGAGAGGATACTGTCGACACTCAGCCAAGGGCCTTTAGTCTCTCAGAGCTGCCCTTTGGCCAGTGCCACACAGCCAAGCTCTAGCAGCATGGGTGAGTGTGGGGAACAGGGTCCTCTGGATAAGGTGCTGCCTCTTCAGGGAGGAGAATACAGGAGACTCAGAAGTGATGAGAAAAGTTTTCCCCTTCCTCCCAGAAAATGGCAGAGCCTCCTGCAGACATGGCACACCTTGGTTCCAGGTAGCCTGGGCACACACAACCAGCAGTCAGTGTGGGCCCCTGGCTTTCCAGAGTAACAGTTTCATCCAGAAAAATGACTGCTATGATACCCTTAGCACTAGAATCCCCCTTTCCCTGGGAAGGGTGAAGGCTAGCTCGGGACTCAGGCATTGACTAACGGAAATGCTTCCAGGATCACCTAGCTCAACAGCAAGGGCCTGAGCAAGGTGACCTTCCCAGTAAGACACCCAAGTCTGCAGCTATTCCCAAGTGGTGATCTGAGCTCTGATGTTTACAGATCATGAGCTGTACTCGGCTCAATAATGACCACCTTAAAAACTCCAAAACTTTTAGCTAATAAAGGCTTCTGTTTCAAAAATCAAGACAACCCAAGATATATTCCCAATGTTGTTCCAATTAATACAAAATACTAAAAAGTAACTTTCTCTGAAAATCTAATCTTCATATCTAGAAGGAAAGAGTCTCCTAAGGTAAATGTCAGGTCTATATAAGAGAAATTAACTACTTTAATAACTCTCAACAGTTAGAATATGAAATGACAAGGTTTGAACTTATTTTAAGTCAGGGTCTCACTATATAGCTTGAGTTGGCCTTGAACAAACATGTAGCCTTGAACTCATAATCCTCCTGAGTCATATGAGTGAGCTGTGCAGGGATTACAGGGTACCATCATTACCAGTTCAACACAATTGGGGGGAGAGGTGACATGGGTTACGGATGGGACCCAAGGCTTTGTACATGGTAGACAAGAACTCTACCACCGAACTGCACCGCCAACCTTTGAACTGATAGGTTTGACTGTGGTGCTAATTATAGACTGTGAAAGCTATGTCTATATAGCTATGCATAGCTATACATGCATATATGCATGCATGCACACACACAAATTCTCTCCCCTTTTGGTTTGGCAATAGTTATCATGGAGTTCATTTTGAAAAACCAGAAAGTTATTTAAAAGACTCACACCTGAGAGTTGCATCCTAGTACTAAATGAGGCTTAACATAAGCTAAAACGGAAAAACAAAGGGTTAAAACGTACTTGCCTTCTGCCTGCGATACTGTTGTGTCCTTTACATCATCACTATTAAAATAATTTGCACACCAGGCAGGTTTCTCAAGTTCCTTATCTGTCTCTTAGAGTCTATCAGAAACCAAAAGCTTGCCAAGAATATGTGAAAATCATCAAAGAAAACATCTGGCACACCCTGGTCGCTTAGATTAAAAGTCTTGAATTACTTGTTCCCGAGGGCTGTCAATCAGTGAACAGGTCTGAATGAGCCAAACGGTCCCAGACAGCACAGGATGCAGACAAATCCTTCAGTGTTTTCTAAGCAGCTCAGTGACTCAGGAATTTGGCCTCCGCCGATTGTACAACCAAATTTTAATTCACAGAGTCCATAGATTAATGAATCAAGCACTGCTTCAGGGCAGCGTAGACACTGGAATTCCTCCTACCTCTCCCTGACATGCCAGCCGCAGCTCAGTCTAGACAGCTTGTAACCAGAAAAGGGTATTGGTGCTTAGAAGAAACTAGCGCCGTTGATCCCAAAGCAAACTATAAATGTCTGTGTGAGTGGGCTCACCCCTCTACAGCGTATATGGACTTATTAGTTTCCCTATAATTACCCTCAAAAAACTATTATGCCATTTATTTATTTATTATTTATTTATTTATTTATTTAGATTCAGGGTCCCACGTACTGCAGGATGCCCTGGAACTCCCTACATACAGCTAAGAGTCACTGAATTTCTATTTCTACTTCCTCCCGAGTGACACAGTGACCATGGTGACAATTCTATGCTAGTTGAGGATCTAAACCAGGTCTTTAGATGTGCTTCGTAAGCACTCAAGGGACAGAGATACACCACCCCCACCCCCCACCCCCAATTCTTCTCATATCAGTCTAGCATATGGAAATTTTTCCATCTGATGGAACTTGACAGTAGGCAGCAAATTACCGTGAAAACTCTACCACTTGGTAAACCCATCCAACAATCCGCTTCAGAGAGTCTCTGTTAGTGCCCAAGAGCTGGAAGAACAAAACCATTAGTTAATCTTGTTTTGTTTTTAACCTGGCTTACCTTATCTGAACAATGTAGGAATAGTTGGTGGGTTTGGGTCGCCACTCCAAAATTGTCTTGAAATCAGTTGATACCCAAGTTAAATCAACCGCTTTCTCTGGAAATAAACACATAAACAAATAAACACATAATTGCATGCACTTCGGTACAGACCTTGGGCTAACGTCTAAAACACGTTCCCAGCTTCCGCCATCAAAAGGAGCACTTTTTAAAAAAAAAAAAAATTTTGCCGTAGTCAGTCACCAAAACGTTGCTAACTTGTAAAGAACAGAGGGGTGTGTGTGTGTGTGTGTGTGTGTGTGTCCCTCCCCGCCACCCCAGACTCATACAGTTTTCCAGGCAATATCCACACTGCAATCCACGAAAGCGGCTGAAGATCCTGAAGTCCTTCTTTAAACTATTCAAGGGAAAGCCCTCTTTAAAACGACACAGAAGGAGAGCCCAAGGTGTCAGAGTCCCATACTCTTCTGAAGCAGTCGGGCTCAAGGAGAGGTGGCAAGGAAGGGTTTGAATAAGTTCCAAACAGGGTTCGTCCCCACACACGTGAGAGTCAGGAATGCACATAAACGAAAAAAGTCTAACTTGACCTTTCCCATTGTAATCTAAAATAATCTTTACACTGAAATTCTCACGGAGAGCAAAGCAAATGTGCGGCCCACGTGGCACCTGTCACATGGTAGGATGCTATCCCATTAAAATACTGTTATCAACGTCTCTTTTAGCAAGTTCCCGGGTTTCTCTCTGCCTCACCCCAACACTGGGTAGATGTGGATATATACTCTGTCTTCCCTGAGTTTACAAGAGCGTTGCTTTTATCAGATCTAAACCAAAGGCCACAAGAACATCTATTTATTACGGGAAGGCGCACACCTTGTCAAAGATAACATGCAAGCCACGCGAAGCACGCCGACTTTGGCAAAGGCGGGCCCATAAGTCCGCCACCTTCAAGGGCCCAACTTCCTAGGAAGCTCTTCCTTCAGAGTTAAAGCTGGAACCCCAGATTATCTTATGCAACCACAGTGGACGCACAAAGCAGGCATCTTCAGCGGCGACCACAGCCGGGAGTCCGGACACCAACTACCTTCCATCCTTGAGTTCATTCAAACCCTCAGGGCAATCACGGCCAAATCCACAGGTACGGCGAGACACCTTGACGTCCCCAAGGAACCAGAGTAGCACCCCGCCCTCCCCTCACTCCCCTAGCCAGCCAGACCCGTTCTCTGCCTCCCGCGGGCGGTGTGCCGGGGGATTCTCAGGACCAATGCCACTCACCTGCAGCCGTGGCCACCTGGAGGAGGAGGCAGCCGAGAAAGGTGGGCGCGAGGGCCGCTAGGAGGCGCGGGCGCACGGGGATCGCCATGTCCAAGGGCTGGTGGCGAGGTCGCGGGACTTCGGCGGCGGCGCGGAGGCTACGCTATAGAAGCGATCGGAGGGAGCGAGTGATGGGTACCGGTTGTACCCAGGCTGCCGGGGTCCGCGCGGGGCGCGTTATAAAGGGCCGCGCGGACACTGGCTCCTCTCCACCCCGCGCCGCCTCCGCTGAGGCTCGCGACTCCCCGCCCCCCGGCCCGGGTCACTCGCTTTCGCGGTGGGCGGCTCCGGGTCAGTCCACACCCCTGCCCCGCCCACTCCCCTCCCGTAGGAAACTCCGAGACCCCGAAAGGGGTGACTCAAGCGTGATTCAACAGCGCCGCCGAGCACCGAGCTGCCCCTTCGGCGCAGGCGGATCCAGGTACTGCGGAGACCCGGGCTCCCGAGCTGATCCCTGGATGACCAGCCTGGGTGGCTTGCTGGGGAGAAAGGAGTCGCATTGGAGGGACCTAAGTTGAAAGTCAAGGGAGTCTTACTTTTCCTCTTCTTTCGATGTACGCTGAACCCCTTGCAGAGAATGTATCAAGGCTCCTGGCGCACCCCTGGTAGCCAAGGACAGTTCCAAAGCCCTGGCTGAGCACCCAGTGGTTAGCAGAACATTCTGTCAGTCCCTTGGTACGCTGTACAGGGCGGTGCAGTAAATGCACGTGTCTGTCATGGACAAGGGCCCTGGATTAGGTCTAAAGGCCACTTGGCACCCCACTCCCGTTCCTGAAGTGACCGAGGAACTGCAGCTTGAAGCCTGGGAGAATTTGAGCGTGACTTCTGTAGCCCTTGGGTTCTCATGTTGAGGAAGACAGCAGTCGGTTTGAGTGAATTCCTCCAAAGCGCAGAGAAACAAAAAAATGAAACTGAAAAATAAACATTCGGACTTTCCAATGTATTTGTTTTTTTTTGTTTGTTTGTTTTGTTTTTTCCTTCCTAGACCCTGGGGATGGACCCAGGAGCCCACTTATTTCAAGCACACCTCTGTCACTGAGCCTAGCGGCAGCCAGGTGTCACTTGCAGGCTTTGGTTTTTCTTCATTTCCTAGCTTCCCTTTCTAGGCTTGCCCTGAAGTTGTTGAGGTTTGAGAATATCACTTATCCTACTGGTAGTACTTGCTCAACATCGTGTCAAAAGATTTCTTGTCGTTCCTGGTTGACTGTCCAGCTTATCCCTTCTTTATGCCTGTGGCTTTGAACCTCCCTAATATGCGACCCTTTAATACAGTCCTTCATGTTGTAGTGACCCCCAACCATAAAATTGTTTTCATTGCTACCTCATAACTAATTTTTCTACTGTTACGAATTGTGATGTAAATAATGTGTCTTCTGATGCTCTGTACCATCTTCTTTCTTTCTTTCTTTCTTTCTTTCTTTCTTTCTTTCTTTCTATCTCTCTCCCTCTCCCTCTCTTTCTTTCTTTCTTTCTTTCTTTCTTTCTTTCTTTCTTTCTTTCTTTCTTTCTTCTTGTCTGTCTTTCTTACTTTCCTTGAGTAAAGTCAAACTTAGGTCCACTTTGTAGGCTCTGAGAAGTGTAAAAGAGGTTACTAAGCTGTTGTCACTCACAGTGGCTTTTAATTAGGCTTCCTGATCATGTCTGAGAAGGACAGGGCAGAATCTCTTAGATAGCCTTTTACGATACCAGTCTTGAGGTCAGCTGGTCTGTGTGTTCACTGGCCTAACTACACAATGTAGTCCTATCTGATCCTCTACTCCAGGGACTTTCCCTCCTGAACTCACCTTCTCCTACTCCTAACTGAGCAAAGGAAGAAAGCTGTTCAAAGAATGATGTTTTTTTCCATCCACAGACACTCAAATGTGTTCTTCAGCAGGTCTGGAAAACACTTGCAGTTTGGGGAACTTATTGATCATAGACAGAAATATCCTGTCGGCAATTCCTTAAAGCAGACATGCTTGAAGACACGTAGAGGGCTCAATTTCCTTTTGCATAACCAGTGGTGAATGAGTCTGATGAGGAGGCTGTAAATGACCAGGACGCACTTTCAGTCCTTCCTGTGCACGTTTACAGAGCATGCTAACAGTTACCAATTCAATTTCACCAAGTCTTTTACATAATCTCCATTGTGCCCTCACACATCAACTCCCCATTCAAGCTTTTTTAGGGGGAGGGGGACAGGGTTCCCCCTTTAGCTGTTTGCACAGTTACCAGCACCCAGGAGGTGCTCAACACATTTGAACCAATAAAGATCCTTATGCAGCCGTGCTTGTCTCTGAAAGTTTTCATTTAACATTCAAAAAATGAACTCTGTCACTGAAGCTTTTCTGCCAGGCTGTGAGTGAATTGGATCAGCGAGAAAATACAAACCTATGGAATCCGAGGGCTTTACACCCCAGCCAGCCCCAGCCGGCTCAAGGTGGCTGAGGGTGTTTCTGGTTTCTAGAACTTCTAACTGAGAAGAGGTAGTTTCAGAGCAGAATGAAGAAGTTTGAGGGCCGCTTTCATTTTTCTAACAGCCTACACTGGAGCATGACTCAGATTCTGCTCAGTCATGGGATATGTCGTGATTGTTGATAGCCAAGCGTAGTGGCTGTTTAGCATATATTTCTCAAAGTGTCTGTCTTCCCAAGAAAAGGACAGGTTAAGATTTATGACAGAAGGTAAAACGGAAAAGTAATAATTTTTTAAAAACCTGTTATATGTGTGTGAGATAGTAAAATAAGCAATTTGACCATTCCCCACTCCCCAGGGTTTGTTTGTTTGTTTGTTTTTGTTTTTTTTTTCAGGCAAAAGGCAAAATATGAGAAAAGGCCAGAGGAACTTCAGAGTTAGTGAGAACGCAGAGTTCTGAGTTGGGAGAAAAAGTGACTCAGCAAAACCGAAGAAACATCTGGCAGGATTAGTCATGGAGAAATGGGCGGTGCTTAAGGATTCTTTATGAAAATAATTATGGACTATCTGACAGTTTACATTTTGTCCAAAATTAGGTGAAAACTTTTATCCTGACCATTCAAAATACATTTGCTAGCTCTTTGGTCACTAACTTAGTTATCACATAGCACCGAGATTTTTGTAAAACGCTGTTTTTTATCTGCTTCTTCATTTATTATTTAGTTAGTTTTGAGACAAGTTCTCATTATATATCTCTGGCTGGCCTGAAACTAGTATAGACTAGGCTGGTGTCCAGCTCAGAGAGATCTACCTGCTTTTTCCTCCCGAGTGCTGGGATTAAAGACATGTGCCACCACACCCATCTTTAAAAAGAAAAACAAACCCCCCACGATTTTAGAGAATAAGCTTCCAGTCTAAGTCTTGGGATTTTTAGCACACAAGTACCTGTGCAGACTCAAGGCTTAATAGACTGCCTGATAAGCACACTTTCATAGCGATCAACACTTAACATTTCATTAACATTTCATTATTTACATGCAATGATGACAAATAAATTACAAGTTAGTTATAGTCTCAGTAACAAAACCCACCTTAAAAAAAAACCTTTAATGAGTGTTTTTATTAATACACCACCATGTGGCTTAAAATTTTGTATGATAGCACTTTCTTCAAGAATGCCTTAGTCTCATTTCTGAGACTTCTAATTGAATTTGTTGTATAGAAATCCATTCACTCAAACAGATGCCTAGCAGCTGCTGGATTCTGTGTTAGACTGCAGATCCATAAACTAAAACTAAAAGTCTCTGTCCTGTGAAATATATCATCTTTCCTAGTTAGGTCAAGATCTTAATGGTTTGAATGTTTTTCTGTCAGTGTACAGGTTAGAGAGAAAACAATTCTAATAGTGTTGTTGATAAATTTTCTTCTATTCCCTCCCAAGCAGAAAGACTTAAGCCTATCATGGTCAATTTACCTAATAGGCATTTTAAAAAGATTTTTTTAAATAAATAACACAGATACAAACACACTGAGTGGAGACCAGGAAGAGGGAGCTGGATGCCCTGGAGATCGTGTTGCAGATGGTTATGAGCTGCTCAAAATGAGAGCTGGGTATCAAACTCAGGTCCTCTACAGTAGTACATTTTGCTAACCACTGAGCCATCATACCAGTTCTAAACAGGTATGTTTCACTCAGAAAATTACCCATGAGTCTGAACATTCTTCAAGTGAGTGAAAATAATTAATTGACCAACTTGAAAGCAAGTGTGCAGGACATTCTTTCTTATTTGTATATTTGATTTTATAATACTCTAGTTTACTGATGCTCTAAGTTTTGAATTATCTACTCAGCCACTTTTTTTTTTTTTTTGGCCTTTGACGCGATGATACTTCATCTTATCCTGAGTCTTTGCTCAAGGAAAGCTCTTAAGGTAGAGAGTAACTATCTACTAAATGTAGTTATTAGATATTTAAGTTACAGTACCATCTGTAATGTGTGATTGGCTGTAATTATCATCTTAACCACTATTGTCTAACTTAGCATATTGTAACAGCACGAAATAGCTACTATTCTATACAATTAGGGGAGTAATAGAAGGCCATAGTTTATACGTATATATTCCTCTCAGGCCTCACAAATTCCGAGGTAGAAATCTTAGCCTCCTGGGTTACGGTTAGGAGATGGGACCATTGATAGGCAACTAGCTCAAGTGTGGAACCCTCAAGCATGGGGTGAGTGTTTTATTAATTAACTAATTAACTTATTTACTCTGTAGAGCTTTCCCTTCCCTTCCATCATGTGAAGGTACAAAGAAAAGGTGGCCATGAGTAAACCAGGAACCTGAGTCAGGAAGCCAGTCTTTGTTAAACACTAAATTGATCAGAAACATAATCTGATCAATATGAATCTTCTGGACCAGCAGACATAGAGTTTTGCTGTAACACCTTTCACTGTGTAGTACTGATGTTACTGAGTCAGAGACAGCTGCAAAGATACAGGACTATGCTACGGAGGGTGCTTGTGATGTCTTGGCGGTGAATGGCTTCTCAGAATTTTGTAAACTTTATGGACAGCTGTTCAAGAGACCACATGGCAAGTCTTAAGCTTGGATCTTTCCTCCAGCATCTGGGAGTCAGAGGCAGGCAGATCTCTGAGTTCAAGGCTGCCCTGGTCTGGTCTATAAACTAAGTTCCAGGATAGCAAGGGCTACACAGAGAAACCCTTTCTCTCAAACAAAACAAAACAAAACAAAACAAAACAAAACAAAACAAAACAGAAAACCAAAAACCAAAAACCAAACAAACCAGGAAAGGGGGGGGGAGAAAAGAAGGAAAGAAAGAAGAGAAAAAGCTAAGTGTTTGTCTTTCCTACCACTAGGGAATAATGAAGTTTCTGGTTTTTGTAACTGAATAAATATTTATTGCAGGATTACTATGTATGGTACAATATACCAGGAACTATGTTTGAGTCTCTCTCTCTTTCTCTCTCTCTCTCTCTCTCATAAAATAGCTTATAAGTTCGTCGGGGAGAAAAGCAAATACACACTTCCCACAAGGATGGAGCAGAACTGAGATACAGGTCTCACTAGTAGACTGAAAATTCCATGCTAATAGACTGCTTTAGTTTTGGTACTACATGGGCTTCTCAGGACAGGTTCTCGTGTCCTTAAAGCTTTGTTTATGACATAAAAGCTACTCAGGACCCACTGGAGAACTCTCTTATGACCAGGTTGTCAGAGAAGGTTCTTTGGGGAAAAGCAGAGTT